TTGAAACTGTACTCAACTTGGCCTAGATTCCGTATCTTAATGATTTTAACTCTGCTGATGTTTTGTTACATACATTTGTTGTTTATTTCAATCATACAAAGTATATTTCACAAATTATGGGATTGGAAATCACGCGTCTGAAAGATCCAAGACTTTCGATTTGAAGGGCGGGATTTTGTTTACAATTTTGGGAATATGTCGATTTGCACAGCGTTTGGGTTGGGGTACGTTATGTATGTCAGGCCAACATTTTAACAAGGGGAGTCTGTTCGTAAGTACCGTCCGGGAAGCGTGACCGTAACATGTGCGCTCTAGAGGATTATATTGAAAAGGTCTATTTCACTAATATTATTAGTATCATTGTAAGAAATCATACAATATTTGCTATGTAATAGTTACTCTATAAGTTCCGAATAAATATATATATATGGCTACTCTAAGGTACACTGAACTGTGTAATATGGAACTCGAATTCGGTATAAAAACTGTACCACCCTATAGTAGGCTGCCATTTTGAGTCTTCTCATGGAATAAACGATAATACTTATCTGTGCGATATGTGATAATTTTTGTTAACATAAAAAGTGAAGATACCACCCTAGGTTAAAATATAATAACCTTAGATCGTATCTTAGATCATATACAATGGATAGAGCTACTGCCTAAGTATTTGAAGCCAACATAACCAAGGGTAGGAAAATTTATATCATGAATTCAAGCGCGTGATTAGTACAACTATTATCACGTGCAATTTATATTACCACTAATTAATTAGTGATATACATGACAATTATGTGACGAGGACTGACATACATGCCCAATATAAATCAGTCCCCTTATTGTGACTCGTCAATTGATGTCTTCAACAATTCAACTCGTAGTACTCGCTTATAATGCAGTAGCTATATTCATTGAATAATAATATGATCTAAGATAGTGGGTACCACCTATATATCACTGATATTTAGTATAAGCTACCTAATAAAATAATCCTTTCCATGATTGTACATTGGCAGATTCAATATGACGACCTCTTAGGGTATTACTTTTTGTATTAGAATTTAGAACGCATACACAATGTGCTTTTCATACTATACGATTCAGTGACTAGATATTCAGTATTAAGAAGTAATACGTATACGTAGTAACTTATATTTATAACTTCAAAATGTATACTTACTTATATGACCGTGTTTTAATTATATTTTTTACCTACTTGAAGTATAAATATATAGTATAATTCATCTGCAATCATTTTATTGAAACATGTCGAGTGTATATACTATATATTATATATGTATACATCGCGTTTAAATCTTATAAAACCATATAATCCTATTTAGTTGGTATTCAACGATGAAAATACATTAAATAATTAAACTTCAGTTTCCTCTCTTTGTGGCGGTGGTCACTCGTTCACTAATTATTTTGTACTTTCGCCGGATGTCTGGGTGACCCATTAAAATCATAAAGGTCCTCCACATTTTCAAAGGATCAAATTTTTTATGTACCTACCACCGATCTGTGAAGTTAATATTTTGCGGTGGCGTCGTTGTGTTATTATGTGAACCCAAAAGCTTTGCATAAGGTTTTTGACGTCATATGCAATACCTTTCATAAATCAAAACCGAAGTGTTGAAAAAAAAGTGGTCACAAGGACCTATACGGGATAACGTCATGAGATTTAGAAAAATTCCTGTTTATATACTATAAAAACAGATTTGGAATATATAATGTGTTTTCGAGAGAGGTTTTTGTGTAAATAAATATAATAAATTATACTGTTAAACTCAATATTATATGTGTAATTTACATTGACCGAAAAATAGAAACGAATTATTATATACGAAACGTGTATTATATCAGCTCATTTAATACACTGAAAACTAAATACCTATAAATATAAATATATTTTTCATTTAAATTCCTCACCACAACGACCGATTTTGATACTAACTTTGTATAAATAGTACAGTATATAATACAGCAGCAACAGCATCGAAAGCACATTGTATACAAAACACTAGATATTCACGAAAACCACGTTTTAAGCTTAAATGTTGAGATGTTATCAAAATAACGAAATTTATGACAATATTGTCGTGGTAATAATCAAGCAGTTTATTGAACCGTGAAATAGATAATACGGAATCTGTCGTATTTTTCAACAAGCTGTTGTTTAAACTTTAAACCTTCCATACTAACCTATAAAATAGAATAAACACATATTTTTGTGTGTTGTAGGCATTCGAATTTATTAATTGTTCAAAATCATTTTATGCTTGTAAATTAATTATACGAAATCACAAACATGTAGTAGAAGAGGCACCTATCAAGTATTTTTATCTAATGTCTGCATATTAAAAAAGAATTAAGATTTTGATAATTTCTATATTATGTATAACTACGCTTGATATTATATTATATTATATTATACTCGATGCATTTAATAAAGATTGTTAATTATAATAATATTATCTAAATATTATATTCAGCATACATCAGTAACTGTTGCACATCAGTAACAGTATCTAGAATCTATCTCTGGCTGAGACTTCAGATAATTTCCACGATATCATATTATAATAGCCAATAGATGACGGCAATACTACCTATTATATGATAATATGAATTTAATATACTGATAATATTTTATGATCAACATAATATCAAATCTTAAACTTCCCTCCTATAAACGCGTATTATTATGAACGAAAACTCAAAATAACACTTTAATATTATATTAGAATATATTGCTAACATTCTGCAATCAAACTATTATTATTGAGTTGATATTCTGAGAACGCCGTTGCTATCAATTTACATGTATTATTATGGTATGCGAAAAAAGTTATTTCTACCAACTACTCGGTCAACGGCTGCCGATGAAATAGAACTTTATTCAAAATAAATTATTCAAGAAACGCAAAAAAACAAACTTCATCCTATTGACTTTGCCGTTCCAATTTATCTGTAATATAATCTCGGTATACACTTGCGTGTTATTGAGTTGTATTCACCAGAAATTACTTATGCGTTCATGTCTAGCTATACTGTCATCAAATAATAATTTAGTATATTATAATATTATCCATGGGCACATATATATTAATAACTAATAAGTATATATAAGTATGTTGCTATTATTTTGAATTGGAGACTGATGATAATTTTCATCGCAAAAAAAAGAATAATTATTATTTTGATTGTTTGCCGTGGTGTTTGAATGTTTCGCATCATTTTATACCAACATTTTTTTACGTACATTTTTTTTTGTACTTGTAGAGTATTATAGGTAAACCTCTATACATGTACACTGATATTACTGATGGTACAGTAGATTTCAATAACTAGTAACAGTCATCGTAACTTGTAACTCAAAAACTAAATATGGTATTGGTAAATGTGCAAAGTTGATATAAAACTATAGGGCATTAATATCGTTAAAATACTTTATTTTGCATAACCGAACATTATTTGGGTTAATTCGATTAAATTATTTCTTTAAATAAACAAATTTTGGTAATTTTTAAATTGACACTTGAAAATAAGTTTTTTTTATTCATTAAATTAATTTATTATACTCCATTGGTTAATTTTCTAAACCTTGGAGCAGAAAATATTATTAATTTTTAAATACTACTCTGTAGACTTTTTATTTAGACTGGCTAATAAAAGCAACATAACATAATTCAACTTGAGTTTAAAATAAATATTATACACTTGACATAAAATACAATTATTAATTTTCTATTACCTATCATAAAAATAATACTTTGTTTTTAGTTTATTAAACTTTTATATGTTGATATAATTTAAAAATTACTATATCATTTCATTTTTTTATTCTCAAAATATTAAATAAATTTAGTATATTTATGATACCCGCCGCATAGGACCTATAAAATGTTAATGTTAAAAAAAAAATGTTCTTAACATTTTTGCGATAGTTATTGATGTGGCCAAATAATATGTTATATTACTATGTTATATACCTACTTATTATTTATTATTATTATTATTATGATTGTAAAACTAAAACATATACAATTTATTTCACCGAGAACTTCAAATTATCAAACCGTATCCGTTTGTAGTTGCCTACAGTTGGTAATATATTTTTAAAGAGTTTGTACGAATTAAGTAATTTTATGTACCTGAAGAAGTACTTTGAACCGTTTGTGGTTCGTAAGGTTTTGTTAGACATTACATAATATCATTCATTTATTGCTTTTGTTTTAAATTTTAATATGCATATAACATCATTATAATTCGTTTATCTGCTTCTTCATTACTACTTATGAGCTTATAGTTTAAGAAAATTGTTTATTGATATACAATATTGGTAGTAAGTACGGAAAATAATAAAACTCAAAGAGATCTCTAATCGTTGCTATATATCCCTAGCTATTTCGAAATTTTTATCTGTCATAAATAATATATAGATAAAATATGTGCAAGTGGTTCATTTATTAATTTTATAATATAAGTAATATTTACTTTTGTTATGCATTCACTATTCATAACAAATTACAAGAATATTTCTCATATTTCTGAGCATAGCAGTTATTATAATAAATAAAATGGTCAATTATAATTCTATATAGGTATTGTTCAATATTGTTGTATCAGAATATGTGTTAGGAAAGATCATTTTAATTTTTTTTATATTTTTATCTGGTCGGACTATAATAACAAGAAAGAGTAACTCCACCGTTACTCGCATGTGTGTGTAAAATAAAATTTGGTAAAATAGTACTTAATATTTAAATTTTTTTAATGGCATTGCTAATTTTTTCCTACTGATTCGAAAGATAAATTTTTGTTTAAAAAGTTGTTTTACTATAATTGTAATTATTACAAAATTGACAAAGTACGTCTCTATTAGCTGAATGATTTAGAATGATATAGCAGTATAGGTACAATTATTAATTGGGAATTTTCATAACCGTTTTTTTATACTTATGCACAATATTTTTGATTTATTTTTAAGCTTGCTGATGCGACGGGAACGCAAAATGGTTCGGATGCGACCGTATGGAATGTGCCCCCACTTCCAATCAACGCCACCAACGGATCACAGACCGCCTCACCAAGGATTAGGCGATGGCCGTCCTAGGACCGACCCTAAGTTGTTATTACTCGTTGAGACTGCATACCCGAGACTCGGCAGGGAACTGGCCGAGACCCTCGTCCATAATAGACTGAGGTAAGAAAACGGAATTTTCCTATAGCGCGCACCCTGCAACCGGAAATAATGTTTATACATTATAATTATTATCTCCTTCAAATTACTTTCTTTACCCTCAAATTACCCTTCTCATGTGCATTGTCATTACTGACCCTTCTTTCTCTTTTTATTAAACAAGCCTATATAGTCTCTGTTAAACGTTAGATTTATAGGTACTGCATCTTATGTAATGTCCCGTAAAATAAATAAATTATAGATTTTTGATTTGCAGTAGGTTTATTTAGTAATATAATATAGCTTCTTTATACCTCTTAAGTTTTTTTAATCACTTAAAATTGATTGTACCTGATGAATTCCTATATCATGCAGTCCTATATGTTAATAATATAGGCCAAATATAGGTATAATTTTGTATAGACAAGCAGTCATAATTTTTGAGTTCACTTTTAAGACTGTTAAATATTAAATAATTATATTTTTTCCAACTAAGCTGTCATTTTATTTTGGATAATACTAATCCTCCCAACATGAAAAAATATATCCTCTTATTTCTCGAACAATCACACGAATCTGAATAGTTTTCAATTGAAAACCCGATAAGACAATTATTGAATAATATATAATATACACTGACGCGAGAAACGTCTTGAGTTTGCAAACGTGGTAAATTTTAAATCCTCCTTGATATCAATTAGAAAATATATAAGAACATTTTGACGTACTTACACATTCATACGAAATACTATACATTTTTGTAAATTACAAAAATATGTGAAAGTTTTTAAATAACGTTTTTGTAACCTGTTTAGAATTTAATATTTGTATAGGTATAAATATTATATAAGTATTGTGAATTAGAATAACTCAAACTGCAGATATTATTCAATTCAATTTCACTTTGTTTTTATTAAAATACCCTCAACTTTATTTTTGTTTTTATAGGATTTCAGTAGAAATATTTTGTAAAACTTTTTATCATAATTCATAACTAAATCTACAGTTGTATTTTACATTTTATCACATGTTGGACATAATTTTGTTTGAATTGTCTCGAGGCCTTCGAAGTGCCTAGAAATCTACTATTTTTGTTTCATTTAAATGTTGGTTTCCGGAAAATATATTATGTTAAAAGTGCAAACCTGGAAAAATCTTTATTTGCGTTTTACTTAAAATTCATAATATTTATAAAACTTATACGAATGTTTATTTCATTCACTTTCGTCACTTTATTTTTAATATTTGGCTTTTTGTTATTTTAATATACACAATATAAATATGTTTTGAACGTTATTAAAGATCTTGTGAAACAAAATTATAAATAACCATTTATAAATCCAACATTTAACTTACCAGTATTGTAACTGAGTATTCTCATAGGCGATATAGCCATTATTATTGCAAAGGAAACGCCTCGTATAATCGAAAGTGCAATTTATGTTGACTTGATGGCATTGTAATTTTAATAATTTAGACTCTCCAGCTGAGTGTTAGTCATAATTAGAGTTTTCTTAATCTAAACTTGTTCTTATTGTAAGTTATATTCCATCGCTTTTAATAAGTTGCTACAAATTTGCATTAAAGGCAGCTGTTATAATTTACGAGCTCTATATATTTTAGAAAACTACCAAAAATTCATAATCTAATCATAATTATTATAGTGGTTTTAAACTAAGAAGTTAAGTATACCCTTCAGAAATTCGCTTTGCAGTAAATTTTGTTTTGGCCTTAAGATTTTTAAATACCCTTTGTATTTATAAAAATTAATTTCATAGTAAATATTTATAGTAGGAGGGGGATATTAATGTTTTCATTGTGCAACATTAATATATCCACTGACGTATTTTGGAATTAACGCTATACAGCCGACTTAAAATGAATCAACAAATAGCGGATACATTGTAGGTAAGCCCATTGTACCTATATGTTGTATATATAATATTCTCTGAACAACACAAACAAGTATGATAATTATAAATCAATCTATTCGATCGCCAAACGATGATGGAATACTATTTATCAGTCCCGTATAATTATTATAATATATTATAGTGTATCTGTGCGTGAGTGAGTGATGACATGATGTTATCCTGATTGTGGCGTTGGATTAATCCTTTGCAGGGTAATATAATGAATAATGGACTTTGCCGAGCGTATTTTTCGGGTACCTATACGTCTCTCGCGCACCCGTATTTTAATAACAATACAATAATGATTAGATGGCAAACCGTCGAAAGACATGGAGTCGAGAAAACACGGCCTTCGCAGCTATACTATAGTATAATATTATGTATATCATTTTCGGGACATCGATCAAAACGTCGATTTAAGTTTTGCGCACACTCCGTCCTCGCCAAATGATCAAAGCTAGACCCGGATAGAGGTAAGAGGTATAGGGTCACGTGTGTCTAAACGCCGTTTTAACTTTAGGTTTCGGCGTTGAACTTTGTTATGTCAAATTGTCGAAAGTTTTGCCGTGTGTGTTTTGTCCATTATGACGGTGGACGCGGTGGCGGTAGAATATCTATCGAAAGTTTTTTTTTTCTTTTTCTAGTTCACGTAAATGGTTTTAACTTTTGTGTTAGCGATGAGATTTATTTGCAGATATCTTGATTAAAGTTTGCAGATTTAAAATGTGTTTTATATATGCTTTCAACTAAATTATTTAATTGAACTTAAAACCTCTGAATAACGGACACCATTGGTCACCGAAATGCATCTATACCTATTTGAAGCTTCGAAGTATATAATTCAACCCATGCACTCGTGCGATCTGTTTAGCTTTCATATGCGTATAGGGTACACAGCTCTACAGGTCCCGAAATATTTTTCTCAAATTTTGTTAAAACCAGCTAATAAAAATGTGTATTAATCATCACTTTTTACATTATATAATTTTTTTATTTTTATTCTTTATTTTGTCTTTAGCTACGCTTTGTAAATTTTTGTATTTGTTTAGCACGATCTGTGATCCTGGTTTTCCAACTTTAAATTTTATTTTTATTTTTCCCTTATATTATTGACAACGGCCGTCGGAACTGAGGTTGTTATCGTCTTATCTAGTTGTACTGCCGTCGATCTAACATTACTTTTAAATTAAGATTAACATATCTTTATATTAGCTATCTTTAGTAGTGGAATAAGTCATATACAAACATACAATGTACACGTACCTAACAAATTTGTTATTTGTACCTATATTTTTTTGTATGTTTATAAACAATAATTTTTTTTATAAAAACATGTAAGTACTCATCAAAAATATAAATGCATGTCTTACTTTACCAACAGTTTTATACAATAACACTGGTTGTTTTGTGTAGTAAACCTACAATAGTTGACCACTCCATCGAGATTGGATTATTATTTTTAATAAAAATATTAATGGACGTTCGTATAATCGCATTTCAATGTAATGGGCATGTGTCACTTTTTATACAAAAAACAAGTCCCGCGGGTTAATCCGATTGTTCTGTCAAATATTTTATATAGGTGACACCTTAGGGGTAGAACCTACAATACAATTGTTTTTACTATCTAGCTGGTAACATGTTACTATTGTCCGAGATCCGGATTTTTCGTGCCTGGATATATTATATAATACACGTTTGAATGGATCTAAATAATTATACCTATTCTCTACATATTATTATACAATTGATATTCATTTTGGATCAATTGAAATCGCAAACACTGTTCCCTCCCCGGAACTATACTCATGTATAATTATATTTGTCGTTTATGCTCCAATAATATAGATGATAATAGGTAGATCAAAAAAAAAAAATAAAACAAAATGTTTTGTCCAGAAATATTGTTCAAAGTCAGTGTATATGAACGCTACGAAATAACGAACGACGGAAGCAATTTAAAAATCATATACAATGAAAAGATATATTTATTATATAATATACCTATATATATTATTCTATTCACATACAGACACAGTGGGCCAGGCCAAGCATTAAGTGAAATAAAACTATAGCCTTATTATACTCGCTTGCAAGTTTTTTCCTACCTATATATTATAATATGTCAAATATTACCTATGATATAAATTAGGTTTCGATAATTATTACAACATATCATGATATGGTTTACAATGATATTGGATTAAAAAAATACATAATATTATGTTACGCTTTTATTTGTTTATTTTTGTAAATGTTTAATGACGATATCAGTATTTTTTGAACCATATACCTAGTTGCATGTACATTGTCGACTAGAAATGATTTGTATTAGGTATATACCTACTCATTAAAATTGTAATCGTATGCAATTATAAAATAGGCACCTATATCATTGTGAAGTCGTCATGTTATCATTTATGTGTACATGATCGCTACAACAATAGTACCTTTGTGTATTAATATTTATATACACGAAGTCCCATCAATGGATGGTCTCTTCACTCATCCCCCCTGTCTGAATTGATGTAAATAATTGTAATTATCAACCTGTTTGTTACATTACCCTATTATTTTGTCTTTTCTATATACTTATTCTTTTATCACTTGTGCTTATTATAAACCATTATATTACAGATTGTACAATTGTCTAGTTTAAAAATATATATAAAAAATATATATATATTTATATACCTATACTATCATGGTCTACAATAATCATTGAGCACCCATTATACCATTAATAATATAATAATAATAATATAATATTCATATTATAATCGTAATATAAATTAAATGCCGTACGAAATGTTCAGTGATTGGAGTGAATTTCGTTGGCGCAGAGTGTATCTCCCGAATCTGTTGTCGATGATCGAGATCTGCGAAGTAGATTTTATTAGACTTAAAGTCTATGCTCTATAAAACTGTGATTTTAATCATTAAAAAACATTTAGGTACCCATAATATGTATGGTGATTGGAGGGTAGGTATATGTGAACGGCGCGTATTATTTATGCGAAACATCTAGGTACTGTAATGCAATTTATCAAACGTGACATACAGTATAATAATATAATATAAATAATTACATATACAAACCAGTAACCACATATCAATTGTACATGGTGATTCAACAAGCATGTTCGCCCCCTTTTTCTTCAGTGATGCAGTTATTTAAAATCGGATTTTTTGAATTTTTAAAATTCATATACCTATAATAAGATCATGCCATATTTTCAAATTCTTGAGATTTTTTTCTACTTATGAATAGTATGTCCTGTAAAGTTAACAACTTATGTTCTTCAAATGAGAACCTCATAGTTTTCTGCTGTACATTATCTAACTTATATATTTGTTGAACATTTTTATGTATCAGAATAATTATCAAATTTTGAACCAGTAGTTTTTGAAGTATTTAACCTAGTGTATACTAAGGATAACAGGTCCGTAATAATGGGTTTGGAAGATATGCGGGGGCTATGGTGATTTCAACATTTTAATAATTAATATAAATCCATCAACATTAATAATTTGTGAAAATGGTCCAAGTATAATTTATATTAGATACTCTACTTTATATTATGGTAAAACGTTTTTGAGGACTATAATATAAACATTTTAATAACTGAGAAACTACTAGTTTGAATTTTATATGTATCCTATATAATATCTATTGTGTGTATGCATTATGTAGGGCATTATAGCTAGGTATATACAAACGCGTTTATTTTATTAATATGACGTATATACCTATATACCTATACGTATATACCTATACAATAATATTATATATTGACGTTTTTCTTTTTCGCTCGGGTGCACGTCGCCGGGACTTAACCTCGGCACTTGCGACTGTCGTCGGCTACACATATCGTATATACATCATGTTTTAATGTCGTATATACGGTGTTGCGAAAACTTATTTCATTAAATCTGGTCAGCGACAAATAACGCGCTCGGGATATCGTATCACGTCGCATCGTACCTATTAGATTTCCGTCGGAAGTAATGTTATAATATAATCGGAGACGAAACGATATCTAAAAACTGTACATTTTGCCGTGGTCGCCTTAAAGGCATCTATTTACATATTATTGCCGTGTGCTGCAGTACGGCTACTTAAATAAAAAAAAAATCCTTCTCCTTCGCCGTCGTAGTCTTCGTTCGATGGTTTATTACGATTTTCGTGCAGTTGTCGAAAGTTATGAAAACAGCTGTTCTACATGAGTTAAGTTCTGATACGATTATGATGAGCGTTGCTCTGTAGGACGCACAGTTATTATATATGTAGCCATTAGGGGATGGAGGTTTGCTCTTGGTCGTGCCACAATAACAATATAAATAATATAATATGCCCATGGTAATTTTAATTTAATTTCTGATGTTTAAATCGTAATATAGTTTTTTTTTTTTTAATCATTACGATTTTCGATTAATATTTTTTGTGCAACTTTTCTTATACCAATACATTAATACATATCTATTTGAATTAGTTAATTATATCTAAATCTAATATTTCAAAATGCTCGCTCTGCGAAACCGTCACAGGAATTCACCACCAGAAGTGTGCCACTTTTCATTCTCCCGACTACCTATAGTATTTGACAGTATATTGATTGATTCGACATTTTAAACGCATTTCTAGTGGAGTTATGGTGTTTTCCTGAGGAAATAAAAACGCGGAATTATGGAACTATACCGATTATTATGAAATAATCTCAATTTTGAAAATTTGGCACTTATTGCTTATGTTCTGCTATAGGAGGGCAGTATATGGTTTACTTGATGGTTTTTTTTTCGAATCTCATATGACTGGTGGCGTTTTGGTAGGTACATATCGGTGGGATTTACAACCGTCCATTAATATTTAAGGGTGTGTAAGTGATTTAGAAAAACGTGACGGCGTGTTTGAAATATAAGACCCTTTGTATGTATAAAATGCGGTCCTTTCTCTGTCGGCGGCAGTGCCGGCGTTTTGTCGAACGTGTGTGCCGAAATTATCGCACCGTAATGAGTTGGAGATTTATTTTGAGAAAAAAAACAATAATAGTAATAACAACCACAACAATTTCTATCGAGGAGAGCTGCTCAGGACGTGTAACGCAATAATATAATATTATTTAATGCGTTTGGCGCCCACCGGTGTCTCTCTATCTCGCTCTCTCTGTCTCTCAGTCAATCTTTCATCCCACGCACATATTATATGTCTTACCTGCCTATACGATTTTTTTTCTCTCGATCACACGCGCAGGTGGTAAAACTTGACTCCCTCGTAAACATAATAATATACACATATATATATTATATATGTAGTGCATTAGTGCGCATTCTTCTTCTTCTTCTTCTTCGATATAATATATATATTATTATTGTACACATTACACACTCGTTAATTTTATACCATCCACCGTACTATATATAATAATATATCATATATAGACACATTATGTAGGTACGATGTAATGGGTCGTGTATTGTATAATGGTTGCGCAGGAATGGCCGGTCGGTATCACACCGACAAAGTGCAGTACCTATATAATACGCGGCGGCGGCCCTTTTACGATGTATTTAATTTGAGTAGTCATATCATATATAATTTATATAATAATATAATACAATATACCTGCTTAAACCGTATTACGTTCACAGATGTACTATAATATGTTATGTATCATTGCTGCAGATATAAAATGGAAGTGGCCGGCAAATCGTTACCGGCGCTGACGAATTTGGACAAAGGCCGATATTCCGTCATCGTATTCGAGAATTACCACCGGTATCTGAACATGGACAAATGGAACAGAGAGCTGTTGGACAAGTACTGTAGGGAATACGGGGTCGGCATATTGGGATTTTTCCCACCAGCCAACCGCCACATGACCGGCGTTAAGGTCAAAGGATTTCCGTTGTACTTGCACACGAAATTGTCTCTCAGGGTTTGTATATGAATAAAAAAAAAATCCTTAATAATATAATTTATACATTTTTCTTAGTCAAGAGGATGACACTCATCTATAAATTGTTTGTTGAATACCAAATTTCGCGTGGGTGAAAACCACTCTGGTTGAACCATTGGTATACAGGAGAGGCCAAGAGTGCATCAATCCTCCCCTCACACCCATTGACCGTGTTCAAATATAAAACAAAAAAAAATATTTAGCATTTATAACTAAGAATCCTATTACCTTATACATTATAGCTGGTTATAGGTAAACAATACCTCATATTGTACCAATATATAAGTACTATGAGGTATACCTAAAGACAATTAGGATTTTATAGCATTTGCATTTTTCTTATAAAGTAAGCTTTATGGTTTGTTTCATAATTCAGAGAAGTGAAACTAAAAATTGAATTTTGCATATTTTTTTTTACATATTTTACAATTTTTTAGATTTTAGTGTTATTTCTGGATTTTGACTCGACGTGTACTATATAGTTGTGTTTTTAGTTGAATATTGTTTTATGGATATTATTATTCGCGTTTTAACTTGTACCTAACTTGGTTTTGAAATGCCAGTTTTTGTATATTATTTTGGTGTTTTTATTGCATATTTTTGGCGCATATTGAGCGATATTTAAGGTAATATTATAGCACATATTTATGCAATTTTAACTTTTAAGTGCTATAAAATCCCAAACCTGGGGATAAATGATATCTTAAATTTTACTATTTTCTGTCGACATATAAATAGATATTCGTCTAAATTTGTAATACGCTGAGTACTTATACTATTTTGTGAAATTATAAAAACAATTAATTTAAACGTATTTTTCTTTTATACAGTAGTATTTTTATTAAAAAATATTTATAATTTCTAAAACTTTAAATGTTTTTCCAAATTCACATTATTCGATGACAATATTACAAAACAATATTTATGAAAAGAATTACATTTTTACAACTTTTGGCCGTTAATAATCTTAAAAAAACCGTTAATAACAATCTTTTTATGTTTTTTTACTTTTTTAAATGACAACATTTATTTATAATTTCATATTCAGAAGCAAAACATTTTTAGGAGTATTTCGAATATCGATACCGCCTATACAGAAAAATACAAAAATCAAATTACGAATGATACTTTAATAGGCTTATAATATAATAGTTGCAATTTAAAACTTTATAAGTATTTTAAGTTGGATAAGTGAGTAAAGGGCGATTGGTATCCCGCTAAATGTTTTTCCTCTATACACTCATATAAACTTTGAATAATTGTAAAATTAGCTACTTACTTAATCAAAATTTGATTTTTACATATCGAAATTTTCTGAAAAATATTCTACCAAGCATATGAAATCAAAATTTTTAATATATTATATCTATTGGAAATCAAAAATAATAACAATTCAAAATTTTTAAATGTTGTTTTGTAATATCATTAAATAATGAAAAAAAAATGTTCAATCATTGTTGTACCTACGCAAAACATTTTTCCTGTAAGTCTATGTTCTATTGTTGTTGTTATTATATCAAAATTAAAATTATTAATATATTTTAATGTATCACTATAATAGGTAGCTATACTGAGTACCAACCAAATACCATTTAGATAATATATATTATGTTGTATTATTTACAGTGATATTAAAACATATTACTATAAAAATGATTCATAATGAAAACAATAAGTTACGGTATACTTACCTATTTTACATATACCTAACGTGAATAACATTTTTAGACTTTAGTATAAGTGATAACGAAAAAATAATGTAGTACAGTCAAAGTTCTCGAATTTTTGTATGCCATTGTGAACATTTTTTTTTTTTATAAAAACTAGTTATCTATAATTTGTTTAACTCTGGCATAGTTACTATGCAAATGCCAACTGAAATGGTACTGACGTGGGACTACCACTTATTGATGAAAGTTATTTTGAATGAATTTTTAACTCGATTTTTTTTTTAAAACGTAAAAAATTTCCCATATTCCTCTTATAAAATGCGACTGTGTGAAACTTCTTCGATGTGATCAGAATTTGCCGGTGGCGGACATATGATAAATTTACCTACTATTATAAATTTATAGAATATACATTACACCAAATGTAACAGAAAGACCCGAGTACCTCATAAATTAAATTATTGTATCCACAGTCAGGTCCCCATGGTTAGGTTATGCTCTCTCGTTGGACAGAGTATTAAGTTTAGACAAATTTTTATCCTAAAAATGTTTATTTAAGTCAAGCAGTTTATTTTTTAAAAATTGTGTTAATATCAATATTATTTTGATCTAAATTAATTTGAAATATATAATTACTTAAACAATTTTTTTTTTTAGAATTTCCTGGCAAGTATATTTCTTAAATTGCTTATCATCCATATAATTTTCATAATTTCGTACTTTAACTAGTATCAATCTGTATATGTATTTTTCAGGTCTTTCTGTTACACCCTATCTACCTATATCATTTTTACTTTTCTTAAAATTAGATACAAAATCCAAAATATAATATAATATGTTTCGTGTGTTTATAGGACGCTATGCTGAACTCTGCGTCCCCGGTGTTGAGGGTTGCCCGAGCGGGTGGCGTGTACCAAGGGCCGCTTCCGGGCGACGATTGGTCTGTGTTCACTGCCAATCACACGACGTACGAACCCGTGGCTTGGGGCAGCAACAGCAGCGGTGGACGGACTGAATATGTCCCGCTTGCCACGGTCATGCAGGACCATGGCATGTACGATGGGATATCGAGGGTGTTGTTTGGCAATGGGCTCAACTTCTGGCTGCACCGGCTGTTATTCCTCGACTCGCTGTCGTACCTCAGTAAGGGGCTGCTGAGCATATCTCTCGAGCGACAGGTCCTCGTGGATATCGACGATATATTCGTCGGCGAGAGCGGCATCCGGATGTGGAAGGAAGACGTGCACGTTAGATTTTTTTTATATACCCTCTCTCGTGTTACAAACTATAGACCTTATACTACTAGACAAGCCATGAGTGTGTGGAAAGCGTAACAAGATAGAGTGCACTTTTTGTTAATTTGTTTACTCAATATGTAAGGTAGTGCAGGGTAGTAGAGTAAGATATATCGTTATATCACATATAGATTATTTTATTTTGTCGTTAAAACAGCCTACATCACTGCTAGATGTTGTTACGCCGCTCGTAATACTGTTGTTATACACAGTTCTTCTCTAGTACTATAAGGTCTATGGCTACAACGCACTATCACTATACTCTCATTTATTTCATTGGGTGCTCTAGGTGAACCCCCCCCCCTCTTAGAAAAATAGTGTGTGTAAAGGCTTTAACCGCTCGTCCTTAATAATAGCGATGTGGCAGCTGTCTGTTATTGGTAGTTTAAATGGAGTTGAAGCATCTGTAATCAAGTTTAACAAAGTCAGATAATTAGTTAGTTCTGTATCAAAACCCCCTAAATAAACCATGGTTAAAAATGCATAATAAGAATATTTGATAAATTACATACATAGCGTGGAAAGAAAACAAAAAAGTAACATTGAAGGAAGAAGCCAGTCATTAATGACTCTTCAATTTGATTACTTATTTTGATTACTTATTATAATTATTTTTAATCGTATTGAAATAGTTGGATAAGTTTCTTGTGGTTATAGTGTGTTTTGGGAGTGAATAAATTACAGATAAAACCAAGGGGGTATTATTTAGTTTAATCAAAATAGCGCAAGATCGTAAATAATTTTGAGGAAAATTTGGATGTGATTGGGAACATAAATTGGATTTGATTAATATTTCTACGCCACCATGTGGTGTGTTGTCTAGATGATTGGTTTTTAATAAGGTATATCCGGGTATAGAGACATTTGAATATTGTGTTGAGTGAGTTTCGGTGATAAAGGGAATGTCGATTCGATGGTTTTATCCATTAAATGTTTTTTTAGTTTTATAACATGGTTTTTAAGGCAATTGACATTAAAAAGAATGATAATTAGAGATTTTTCGTTTCAATTTTTCAGCAGACGATTGACACTTAATGTTCTCACCAATAATTTCAATAAGTGTTTGGCATAGTTCTAGAAAATCATCTAGAAAATTTACCTTTTACGAAAACTGAAGGAGGTGGTTTGATAGGTACAATTCGCCGATATCAATGTGTTAGGTGACGAGAGTGGGTGCATTTGTGGCCGGAGTTTTGTCTTGATTTTCATCTTGTCTAAGAATTTTGTAACGATTTTGTGAAAAATTTTTTTTTTCTTCTTGTTTGGTTTGTAGGATTTTTGGTGAACTTTTGCGGTTTGGAGGTAGAAGAGCTGGACAGATTTCTTTTGTTGATGGTCTTCATGGCAGACCAGCCTGCATCAGTTTTGTTATTATTTTTGTTTTTTTGCAATTTTAATCTGAGTAATTGGACTGTCTTAATTGTTTTGTTGACTACTAATATTAATTTAAATGTCAACTAATATTAATTAAGCATAACTCAGTGTGAGTAAGAATATTTAACTCAGAGACGGGCGAAAGCGTATGTAGATAATTAATCATATCTTGGCAGCCGTATATAGCGACGTATGCGTATATGCGGCGTTCCCACGAGGCGTGAATTTAGGGAGTGATCCACTCCACGACACCTTCGTTCGTATCTCACGACTGAAAATCAAACATGTTTGATTCTACCACGACCCAGTCGTGGGGCCGAAAGCGTGGTTGACTGTCGTGATTAACGCCTCGTGGGAACGCCGCATTACGCTCGTCTTCATATTATGTAGAATAATTAATATCAGTCAACTATTGGAAAGCGTAAGATGTAAAATGACACTTTGTTACCGTATTCACTTACTTTTTGGGAGAAAAACTGGTTTTACCATCTTTATGTATAAAATTACTTGTCCTGAGTGATTCATCATCGCCTAGCCGGAACCACAGGATGGATCTGGCTGAAATTTGGCATATCGATAGCTATTATGACGTAAGCGTTCGCTAAGAAAGGCATTTTGGAAATACAATCCCTAAAGGGGAAAATAAAGTGTTGTAAGAAAATAACAGTGGTGCCATTTATCAAGCAATATTTTAATTAAATATTCAATATTGGTTATAAAATACAAAAAGTACGAACTTGAGATTTGGAATACTTAGTGGTACCTCTAATTATCCAGATATGGCATAAAAAAGGATTTTCTTATATTCGCATTTTAAAGAGGTGGAGAAACAGGGATCTTAAGATTCACGGTAGAAATCTAAACTTTTTTTTCGTTTATTAATGGTTGCCTTTGGTTGCAGGTTATATATGCGAATTATTTCACAAATCTAGGTATAATTACACCAGTTTGTCCGTAAAAATAAAATAAAATAACGCCCCAAAATATATTAATATATAAATATTAAATACTCCCAAGAATCCGGGATGATCAACTATGACTTCAATACTATTTTAGGTACACTGTATACTATTTTTTTTTTCAATTACAAAGCTGTACTAATATAGGCTATATTTTATCTCCCACCTCTCTGTATCCGCAGGTAGATTGGACTACCAGTTAATATACTGTTCGCATAACCATAAGCGAAACTCAAGGGCAACGCCACGCGGAATGGCTAAAAATTAAAATATAGTATGATCTTGCTTCCATACAGCGAATTACACCCAAAAAGAGTTGATCAATCACAATTTTTTTCCCCGGCAACGCCGGGTAGTTCAGCTAGTAATTTTATATAAAGAAAAAAATTTGGAACTTGATCGGACATTTTCACATAACTACGGGTGTAGTAATAGAAAATAAAAAGTAATAATTTTAATAAATTTATTAACGAGCTAATTAATTTTATGGACTGCATAGCAAAGCGAATGAAACTATCGCGAGAACTGCGATTATAATTTAATCATAAAAAACACTATTTTTTTTTTTATTTTTTTTTTTTTTTTTTGAGTACCCTTCATAAATCTATGTAAAAATATTTTTCCAAATAAGACCTATTAGGTATGTTAGAATAAAATCACCCCTTGTTTGATATTTTCACTATGTACATATTATTTTATTATGAAAATTATTTACCATTTTTCTAATTCACTTGTTTTTCTAGGACTTGATTAAGACTCAAGATCGGATCCGCCAGCTGGTGCCAGGATTTAAATTCAACTTGGGTTTTTCGGGAAAATACTTCCATCGGGGCACGTGGGAGGAAAACGAGGGAGACGATACAATATTAGGTGAGCTTTACTGCTGTTTATGCTATAATTACGATATTTGAAAACATTTCTGTATAGAATTATAATATATCATAAAAAATAATTACAATTTGCAGAAAATGTAGATAAGTTCAACTGGTTCTGTCACATGTGGAATCACATGCAACCACATCTGTACAATAATGAAACGCATCTAGAGTACGAGATGTCGCTGAACAAAGCGTTTGCCGAGGTGAGTAGGCAATGGCTATACTACCTATATTGCTACACAATAATGTTGTTGTGTCCGGTTTATATAATATTTATAATTTGAGCAAACTATTAACTAAATTCTTAAAAAAATATTTAATTCTGGAAGGTACTATAAGTATATGTACAATAAATACTTAAGCTAACGTATCAAAGAAAAATTAAATTGTTAAATAATTAATTATCGTGTCTCAGGCGCACGGAATACCGACCAACTCCAGCTACTCAGTAGCACCCCACCATTCCGGTGTGTATCCGGTACACGAACTGCTATATACCGTTTGGAAAAAGGTCTGGAACATCCGAGTAACTTCGACTGAAGAATATCCGCACCTGAGACCCGCCAGGCTGAGGAGAGGATTTGTCCATAGAGGCATCAAGGCGAGTGTCTAGCAGATCTTACCTACAACTTGTTATTATATGTATATATTAAAGTATATAAGGCCCACCTCAAGTATTTAAGCACTTTTGTATAGGGTAGAAAACCTTATTTTTGACACCCTGTATCCCGCCAGCATTTTATTTGTAGATAAATTTAACATTATAAATGCTTACTCGACTGTTGGGCCTATGTATAATATTATTGTATACAGATGACATTTTGCTATTGTTTATAAATGAAAATTAATACTAATGGATTCTATTGTATATTTAGGTGTTGCCAAGGCAGACATGTGGCTTGTTCACACACACCATCTATGTTGACCGGTACCCAGGAGGCCTAAAAAAATTGGACGAATCCATAATGGGCGGAGAACTTTTTCAAACCATAGTATACAACCCTGTAAGTGTAGTAAAAATCACAAACAACTGTACAACAAAGACGTATAGCTAACACATTGCAATGTATATTTCAAGAGAATCTGGTCATTGTCCATTACATTACCTTATTTTTTTTATTATTATTATTATTATTTAGATTTATTATTATTAAGAGGACACCACACCCGCATGTATTGTCTCCGTCTTACAAACGCATAACATATCAAATTTTACACTCTGCAGGTCACGTTTATCTCCGTTAGTTTAAAAGTTAGAGTGAATTGACCTCTTATTAAATATAAAGGTAAGATTATTGTTGAGGGAATCTCACAGGCATTTTATTATATTTTAATTTTAAAACGAATATCATGTATTTTAAGATGTACAAACAATTTACAATTTTAAAATAGTAATAATTCGCTCTAAAATTAAAATATAATAAAAAGGATATGAGATGCTCTCGATAATAATCTTACCTTTAAATTTAATAAGAGGTCAATTTACTCTAACTGTTAAACTAAAGGAGATAAACGTGATCTGCGGAGCCTACAATTTGCTATGTTACATACTTGTAAGACGGAGACAACGAATGTGAGTGTAGCGTCCTCATAAATGTGAACCATAATATTCAAAAAGAAATTATTTATTACGAAATAAGTTAAGTCTAGTATGTAATTTAAATTGTACGGACTGTATTAAGATGACTTCTCACCTGCAAGTGTTTTATCCGTCTTATAAATGTACAACATGGCAAAAAAACTGTTTTGCTCGGAAAAGATCTATGAAACAACATTTTCGCTGTATTACAAATTCATACCCAGTGTTTATAGTTTATTGAAATACTTACTTAATTAGTGAATTTTATTTCACAACATGCAGCAAATGATAACAACAATAATAATTGTAATGATAACAACCTCGATTTCTAGATCAATGTATTCATGAGCCACATGTCCAATTACGGCAGTGACCGGCTAGCATTATACACCTTCGAGTCGGTATTCCAGTTCATCAGGTGCTGGACAAATTTAAAATTGGTATCATCAGGACCTTTGGAACTGGCAGACAAATATTTTAAGATGTATCCAGAAGAAATTGATCCAGTTTGGGGTGTAAGTATATTATAATATATTTATGTGTGTGTGTGTGTGTGTGTGTTATTGCCATATAATTGTTTATATCAATATAATCATAGTATAAGGCAAGGGTCACCAACTAACAAACCACGGTCCGCATGCGGACCTCAGACACATTTTTACAGACCCTATTGGCTGCGTAATTATAAAATATAGTTTTTACATTACATTTTTATAATATAATGATGAAGAAACACATTTTCCGATATTGTGAGTATAGTATACATATATATGTGTCTCCTTCACCGAGCGTTACAATAAAAGCCCATAGGTGCAAAAAATAATTCCTTAAAGTTGACTGTTAGGTACGTTAGTAACTTTAGATACCTGTGCCGCTGCGTTATTGTATGTCAAAAAAAACAAAATCTAAAAATTTCCAAAGTACGTTTTATTACAATTTATTAGGATTGTTTTTAATTTTTAATGTGTGAAAAACGTCATTGGGCATTTAAATGTGTTTTGGACCGTGAGAAGTTTGGTAAGTTTCAAAAACCCCCGTAGAAATTGGTTGGTGACCCCTAGTATAAGGAATAATAAGTATGGTGAACACGATCCTGGTTTTTGTATGACATCAGAGCGAGTTAGTTGTTGGTTGCATATTAGAAGTATTATGTTTCCCCTTAAAAAATATGTGCACTCTTATCATTGAAAATACCTCTTAAGCCTTATATTATGAATATAACGACATTTCCGTCATTATATACTATAATATGTATGTTCCCCAATAAAAGGAGCACACCACACAAAAAAAAATTTCTTCAAATTATTATTTAATGCTATATAATTGTAGTCAGAACTGCTAAAAACAATTATGTCAAAATCCAATCTAAATTTAAAATATTATTCACTTTTCCCGGGTCTCACCTATAAATAATCTCACCTAATAATATTCATATACCAAAAAAAAAAATATGTTATAAAATATAAATATATTAAATGGTTAGTTACTAATTAGTCAAATAAATATAAATAATTAATTGTAACATATCTATCACTTTTACATTTAACTATTTTCAACTAAAAAATATTTTAATCTTGTATTTTGTATTATATACCATCACAAAAAATTAACCATTTCATGTAGTTGAAAATAAAAAGTATTACATGGACAATTTTGTACATAATATCCAAATCTTAATAATATCAATAAATGGATACTTTTTACGAAGTGGTTATCCACAGCAAAATCCAATGGGCATAATCCTCTACACTCTACACCTTATGAGCTATGTATTTTTTTTTTTAAGAAAAAACTATAATAATAGGTACTAGAACTAATACATTTTTATTTTTTTGTACAAGTACGATTTGATTTTTTGAATAATATAGTCATATTTTAACTATTATTTATTTATTAGATAAGTGAAATTTTAATAAATATATGTGCAGTTTAGATTTAATAAATATAAATTATAAATACTCATAAAAGTTATCTGTACAATGGTATGTACAAACAGTAACTAACAAAAAATATTATTATTTAATAAATGTGATACACATTATATAATATTAAATGATTTTTTAGAATCCTTGCCTGGACCAACGCCATCTTAAGATCTGGTCTTACAAAAAATCTTGCCAGCATCTTCCCAAGTTTCTAGTAATTGGACCTCAGAAGACTGGCACTACGGCATTGTACACATTCTTGTCAATGCACCCAAACATATCAGCAAACATTCCGAGCAAAGAAACATTTGAAGAAATCCAATTCTTCAATGGCCGCAACTATTACAAGGGATTAGATTGGTTAGTGACATTTTAAACAATAGCTGCTAATCACTTTATGGTTTTTAATACATTTATTTGGTTTTTAGGTACATGCAATTTTTCCCTTCAAACGACTCTGTGGACAACAAAATTGTATTTGAAAAGTCTGCCACCTATTTTGATTCAGACATTGTACCTAAACGAGTACAGGCACTACTGCCCAACGTAAAACTTGTACGTATAGTTTTGTATTCTGAGCTGAATTAATAATTAGAGCGCTAAAGGCTGCTTAACTAAAAAAAAAATGTAACAGATAAAAAAAAAGACTGACATTGAATATTGGTTAATGTTGATTACATTTTACTGCTAAAAATAATGATATTTTCCAATAAATTTGGACCATCAGGTGGACCATTAAGTGCTCAGAGCCTACAAATTGTTTAATCTGCCCTTTGTGTCCATATTGTAACTCGCCATTTATTGTGTTGACTGATGCAAATTTTTATTATCTGTGTTTATAGGTGACCATATTAATCTCGCCGGCCAAAAGAGCATATAGCTGGTATCAACACGCCAAAGCCCACGGTGATCCAAACACTCTCAAGTATTCGTTTCATCAAGTCATAACAGCCAACGAATCAGTCGTGCCAAAATCGCTGAGGGACTTTCGTAATAGGTTATTGCAATTAATAATTATTACATATTTTTCAAAGTTTCAAATGGCCTGAAATCTATATCAGAGATCATAATATTATGGATCTCGTGAGACTGAATGAGTTTTAGGTTTCCACCAAGGATAACAATTTTAAATAGGTTGGGGTTCTTAATAAATGTAATTCTATACTACTGTATAAACATTTTAAGCTAATGTAATATCCTGGTAACCTGAGTGACTACTTGTATACCAACGTTACAGGTAGCAAGACCGTGATGATGATGATGATAGGGTGTATGTTGAAATAAACTTAGAAAATTATAATTTAATGTGGTTTATTTGTAATGTTCTTCAGTGAATTGTCGAAATGACAACAATATTCCACAGAGTATCGTGAAGGTGCTTTCAGTACAGCTCAGTGAACACGTCTGAATACAGGCCATTTCGGGGTCCCTCTTATAGTCCGGTCCCCGCTCCCCTTGCCTATTGGTACTGTATCTCAGTCATCCCGGACGTGGCCATCGACCTAGCCCGAATTTGCGAATTCGACCTAGCCCAAGCTTAAACCCGTATTTGTGAATTCCCTAATCTATTCTTAGTATTAGTATATTCATTAGTATTTTAAAAATAATCATGCTATTTTTATATTGGGTATTCGTCATATATTGCTATTTCAAATATCACATCCGTCTAGTCTATAATCGTGGTAGTTTGCTGTGGAATTATTTTAAATAAAATAATAGTTGTATTTTTTATTTAATTGTAATTCTATTTATCCTTCAGTTTTGGTCACTATATCTACCATGATTTAATTAACATACAATCGACAATTAACTAGTTAGTTTCTATTTTCTATTTTGACATATTTGTTTATCGCCTAGCTATAGTATATGTTGCCAAATATGGTACCTGTTGGGATAATTTTAATGTTACGTAGTAACTAGGGTTACTACACTAAACTCCCTCAGATTTATAAGTTTCGTATTTACTATATATATTATTATATGTTTACACAATATAATTTTTAAACTTGTATTACCTATCTACATGTATATACAATATACATATCATATCTGATTAATGATAACTATTAATTTAATAACCGTTAATAGCTTTCATAGCTTTAGTGGTAATAGCTAAATGAAAATATATTTAAAGTTATATATTGTGTTACGATACTACAATTACAAATACCGGATAAACCCAAGCAACTACTTCTGTAAATGTCTGAGTTCCTGATTTTAAGAATTAATTTTAGTAAAAATTCAGGTTTACCTTCAATTAATGATTTTTTTAGTTTATTTTTAAAAAAAAAAAACTATGTTATTATTCATTATTTATTTAAATAAATACAACCAATGCTTAATATTATAGATTTGTTTAATATTGTTTTATCGTTGTATAAGATACATTTAACCACATTATTTTATTACATATTTTTTAATTTTGTCTGTATTTAATGTGTATTAGTATTTTTTAAATTATAAATGAAATTAAGAAAATTATTATAAAAAAAATCTGAACTTAATAATACATATCAGAACATAACTTAACATAATAAAAAATAAAATTATTACAATACACAATATTTATTAGTATTATTGATTAGGGCATACTTGAGTGCCGTGTAATCATGAATTGCATAATTATTAGACAACAAAAAAATACTAAATATGTAGATCTATTTAAAAAAATTAGTATTTAATACTTTACCATAATACATTGTTAATCCTAAAATGTACCAATTCTGGTTTATAAAAGCTAGAATTACAATAATCATTTGGAATTTGATGAAACAAATTTGTTTATTTCTTTAAATTTACCAATATAAATCAGTAAAAGCCCCAAATTCTGATATTTAATTAATTTTCTATTTACTTCAAATAAATATCACCTGTTATGTATTCTTAAAAATGTTATTAGTTTCAACTTCAACTAATTTAATTCAATTCTGAATAGAAGTAGTCCTTTTTCTATACATTAAATATTTGTTAAGTTTTTTACAACGTTCTTGTATACCAATTGTAATAATAATGATATAAACACAAAAGCAAGAATATTAAGCTTTTATGGATATAATATGTTTAGAAATTATCTTTAATGTGACTATGTGATAATTTACCATCCTCTTGACTAAATACAAAAATGCTGTGTGAAAAATATTACATTTTATTTATAGCATTTGTTCTTACAGTTTATTTTTTCTATTAAGTTATATAACTATAAAGTTTAATAACATTCAATGCTAATAATCAATTTATTTCTTCACTTGTATATCATTGAATTGATATTTTTTATAATATACAATATAATAAATGTATTATAAAGTCAATAATTGTACAAACAACAGACACTTGGGCCTATTATTATTATTGTTGTAAATTACTTTGTAAATTTATTTAATTGTATTATTATTTAAAATCCCGAAAATGGCCTTTTTAAAGACGATAATAGACTTAAGCTCAACTGTCAGTTATTAAGATATTTACAACTACTTACACTTACACGTAAAATTGTATTTGATCTCTGTTAATTTTATAAAATTGTAGGTATCTATATCCAATTAACTGAGAACAAGTATTTTTATAGAAACTAATACTAAAAATATCATTATTATAATTCATAAGAAGGTTCACGATAGTTTAAAATTACAAAATCAACATTCTAAATATGCTTATGGTTGATCGTTTATACATTATAAATACACCCTTGATAACAGTTTTACAATCATACATTATATCGACAATCATTGTGACATGGTGGTTTTTAATAATGCTATAAAAAAAAATCAACCCAACAATATACTCAATATTTGACTCCGATTTCAGATGTTTAAACCCGGGAAAATATGCACTACACATTGAACGGTGGCTGGACTATTTTCACCACAATAATCTGCACATAATTGATGGCGATCAGCTCAAATCCAATCCTGTGGACGTGTTGGACCAGTTTCAAAAGTTCTTGAAAATTACACCGCCGTTTGATTATTCTTCTCACATCAGGTGCTTATAAATATAATATAATATATGTAAGTCATATTATAATATGAATATTTGATATGGCTTAGTCTCAACCTCTAAATGTATCCACTGATTCAATATATAATGATTGTCTTGCATGTTTTTACAGATATGATGCCAAGAAAGGATTCTTCTGTAAGGTTTTGGAGGGTGGCGGTAATAAGTGCCTGGGCAAGGGCAAAGGGCGGCAGTACGCCACTATGGACACAGAGTCGTACAAATATCTCAGAGAGTATTATATGCCATACAACACAGCTTTGGTGAAACTATTGCGCAAGCTGGAGCACACTACCATCCCACAGTGGCTTAAAGACGACCTGAGCTATTCATCCACCTGACATTTGCTTCGTACGTATTTTAGTATTACCTATTTGTAGGTCTTTGGTAGCTATATTTACCAGTTAGTTATTTATTTTTCTACCGATGAGTTATTGGTATATTATTTTACCACTTGATGCAACGGGAATTATAATGTCATACGAGCAGTAAGCTTGTAAGCAACCGTTGTTATTGTTATCTTGTTAAGCTTAATCACGTTAATTTTTCAAAGTGGTAAAATATTTTACCACTGCACATTTTTTTTTTCAAATTCATTATAATATACATGTATGTGAGTCTGGAAAAAAATGGACTCAAACAAAGCAAAAGCGCCTTATGCCCTATAAAGGGTTTTAACATAAAATTTGTAAACCTAACTTGCAATTACTTGCTAATTATAATGAATCGATTGATACCAGTTTCGAACGTGTGGGTCAAAAAAGGTGGGCTACTTGAAGTTGGTCCACCTTTTTTATTTTTGTCCCGCACCTGAAAATAGTGACTTGCTAATTTTAAAACCTAACGTACTAATTCTTGCTAATTATTTGCTAAATGTTGATATAGGTTAGATTGGTTTTAGAGAAATTGGGTGGGCCAACTTCACGACCATCAATTTTCTTGATAAAAAATGTACAGAAGATTTATTAGGGAAATTAAGTAAATGATGTGCGTTAGAGACATCTTATAAACGCAAATAAACTTGACAGATAATCTTACATAGCATTTTATATGACAAATAAAAATTATATATATTTTTTTTTAGATGTATTCCATTTTTATACAATTTTACTTCAAAGTAAACAGAGGGTGCTAGTGTAAGATTTGGGGATTACACTCTTGTTTGTGCGCCAATAGTTGTACAACCTAGTGAAATATACTTGAATTCAAATTTTTTCTATTTAATAAATAGATAATATTAATACAAATAACATAACTAAATTGTAGTTGATATCTTAGATGTTTAATTCAATGTAATTTCTTATAATTTAACATTTTTGAAATTCAATTGAAATTATTGTCTTACAACATAAGAATCTCTCCCCTATAAACAAACATTAATTAAGTTCATACTGAATTAGTATTCTGTTATAATTTTAATAATAACTCATTTTTAATAATTTTTTGTGCGCAGGTGGTAGAAAAAAGAAATACCAGCGGTTATTGGCTGGTGTGTATTCTACCACGAAGAAATAAAAATGCTGAATTTGCCATATTCATATGAAATCTATATTATATTACACTTTTTTTAAATAATAATTGTAAAATAAAAACGATGCCATATTATATTATTAGGTTATTTTAAGTTATGAAATTTTAAGTTTTTTTTTAATACTATTACCTTTTGTTGATTTTACTGTACGTATATTATATAGCTAACCGTTTTTGTGTATAAATTAATTTTAATAATAAAAAAAAATAATGTTTTTTTTTGTCTTGTATTTATAAATTTTATAAACATGCATATAATATATTATATTATATTATATGAGTGTGTATATTGTAGACCGTCCATGTTTTGTTGAATTTTTTTTAAACTGAGCATTTATAGAATGTTTTGTGTCAATTTTCTTATTTTGGCTCAGTCAAAAGAAATATAATAATGTGTTGATAACAATAGTGATTACCTGCTTATTTTTTGCTTTTATTTTATAATTTGTGGGGCGACAATGCAAAACTATTGGCAATTTTATCAAAATTGAGTTGCACATTGATTCATACATTTATAATTGCGAAACGATTGGCGTCATCAAATTGAGTGAAAACTTACTATTTCCTATTCAAAATCCAATATTAAAATAATGAGTTGGTGCAAAATGTACTATTGGCATTGTAATATACATTTTATTAAAACAAACTATTTACATCCTAATACAAAGCGTAACACAAGACACTCATTATTTCATAATTTGTTGGAGTATTTATATCTATATGAATTGAATATCGGACAAGTAGTTTTTTTGTTATAGGTATTTAAAGTTTAAATAATCAGAGTAGTGGAATAACATTTTTGCAAGGGTCATTGAAACTAGAATGTAGGAATTAGTTAAATCAAACCCCAATTGTACCTATATCATATGAAATAACTGTACTTAACCTTCTATGATAATTTTTTATAAAGAAATAAGATTAGAAAAACTCAAATTTGGAACTTATACAGTACTTAATACATTTTCCTTTAATTTAACAGATATTATGGAACTAAAAATATAGAAATATCTGTATGTACCAACAATGAGACATGGGCCACACTAAGATACGGTCCATAGTTCATAGTTTTTCATAAATTATTATTTAATAAAGTATGCTTTAATGATTTGTTTGAACTATTTGTGTGTATTTTTGGGAGATCAGTATTATTGCAACACAGTTACCAATATGAGTCTCACTGCACCCTAGTTTCAGCTACAGATAAATCACTACTTATTACTAGGGCTGTGAATTAAATGCATTTGCATATTTTTTTGATAGGTACGCAGTATTATAATTTAATATGTTTTCTTTCATATGGCGTTGTTTTTAGTGAAAACATATATAACTTAACTAAAAATATTAAACCAAATAAATAACAAATACCGATTACACTAGCTAAATAAACTGAAACAATATAAATTAAATATATGGAGTCCCAAACTATAATAATATATAAATACAACAATATAATTTAACAAGTAAAATAAAATAAAATAAATAAAAAAAGTAATATAGATGACTGCGGTAACATATAATTATGGGTGTGACTGAAAGGTAACACATACAATGATATAAATAGGAATTTTCCCACTATCTAAAGGTGTACTTCTAGGTTACATAGCCAATCTTGTGTCTCACTGCCGTCTTTATAAAGCTATTCCTCCTTCATATTTTGTTCGCGGACATGACTCGACAATGTGTTAGATGGTTTGAACCTGACCACACTCACAGAGTGGGGTATCTGACATTTTCCATTTATGTATGAGAAACTTACTTTTTCCTTGTTCTGCCCTGTTCTGCCCTGCACGAGAAAGTTCAAATCCTGAAACTGTGAGTCGGGTCGTTGATAAGGGAGCTATTTACTACATTCTCATCTTTCCAGCTCATTTAATGGGTCAGGGTAAATAAGTCCATGTTTTCATGGTTACCTAGCTAGTATGTAAATTAAACATTTTTTTATTGTAAACCATATTTAATTATTAATTATTAATTTCAATAGTTTTTTAGTAAAAACTTTTTTTTATAGAGCATTTTTTTGAATAATTTTAGTGCATATTTATATATTTATATATTTATTGCGCTTTGTCACCGAATCTTGTAATAATGTTAACGCAATGCAGGGTTAATATTACATTTGTTTATTATAATATAACTATATACATATGTTACAAATATATAAAGAACATAGTGTCGTCAGCGAATAGTGAGAGATGTGCTTTAGGAGTTGTTGGTATGTCGTTTATGTAAGTCAAGTAGAGAGTAGGTGAAAGGCATGATCCTTGAGGGACGCCTGCGAGTATGTGTCTGGTGGACGAGAATGAGTCTTCGATTTTTGTGACAAAGGTGTGGTCAGTGAGAAAGGATTCGATGATTTTAACGATTTCAGTCGAGATGTTGAGTTGGGATAGTTTGTAGAGGAGACCGACGTGCCAGACCCGATCGAAGGCTTTCTCCACGTCAAGGAAAATGGAAGCGGTGTTAACGTTGTCGTTAAAGTTCTGACTAAGTTGGTGAGTAAGTTTGTTCAGTTGTAGAGTGTTCAGGTCTGAAGGCAAATTGTTCTGGGCGAATTTTGTCTCGAAGATTGATTTGAAGGTGAGAGAGGATGATTCGTTCGTAAATTTTTGATATGGAGGAGAGTAGAGCGATTGGTCGGTAGTTTTCGGGTAGTTTGTGATCTTTACCTGGCTTGGGGATGGAAATTATTACTGCTTTTTTCTAAGCACGTGGAAAGCAGCAAATTCTGAGGGAGCAATTTATAATTTGTGTTAAGGATAGTAGAATGTTGTTCGGTAGACATTTAAGAGCAGTGTTGGTGATGAGATTGTCACCAGGGGCTTTCTTTTTGCGGAGGTTGTTTATGATTTTTTGGATTGTGCCAGGAGTGGTGAATAAATTAGATTTGGTGATATTAATGTTTCGAAGTGAGTTGAAGTGGGCAGAAGCTTCTGGAAGGTGGGCACCAGGGTTTGGTTGGAATTGGAGTTCGAGAGAGTCGGCTATCAACTCGGCTCGATCGATGGCCGGAAAAACTAGACCGTTGGGGCCGATAAGACGGTGGGATGCAGGACGTTTGTGGAGGAGACATTTGTTTAATTTGTATATGGAACCGTCCTGATGGTCAAGAGAATTAAGAAAAATGTCCCACTGGTCAGTTTTGTGAGTTTCGAGTAAAGTTCTGATTAGTAAGATTTTGGCGTTAAGTTGACGTTTGGTAGTCGGGTCACGGTTTCTTTGACATTGACGGCGTAACTGGTTATTTTTCAGTTATTTCAAGTTTTATGTAGTCAGGTAGTAAAAAGGAAAAGTTTTTGTGTTTAGGGGTAAATACGTTAGCTTTGATCGCGTGTTGTATGTTTTTGGTGAGAGTATCAATTGCCAAATCAATTGACTCACTGTTTGTGGTCGGTTGTTCAGTTGGGTTTGGTAAGTTGGATAAGATTGGTTTGTATTTTGTCCAGTTAATGAAGTGGTTATTCGTTGGAGGGGACGATGATACCGGAGTACACAAGGTCTCCAGAAGGATAGAGTTGTGGTCAGAAGATAGCTCGTTGAGGTTGCCAATTCGAGTAGGATAAGGTAGTCGAACGAGAGCGATGTCAAGTATGTCGGGTCTGTATCTAGCTTTTGTCGGGAAGTGTGTGGGGGATGAGGGAGCAGTAATGGTATAGTCCGATTGTTGAACGTGATCAAAAAGGACACGACCGGCAGCGTTTGTCGAGTGGCTATACCAAAGAAGGTGTTTGGCGTTGAAATCACCTGCCGAAATTTGCCATTCAGCACTTTGGGTCAACAAGTCCAAGTCGTGAGACGTGAGTGTTGCACCTGGTGGTTTGTATACCGCTGATACAAGTACTTCTTGGCCGTTTAGTTGGATAAGGATGGAAGAGGTTTGAATGAGTGTGTTCAGAGTTATAGGTTGGTGAATGATGCGTCGGTGGATTAGAACATCCGTGCCGCCGTGAGCAGGCGAGCCGCGGACGGGCGGAAGATCATTCCTGTATGTGAAGAAGTTTGGAATGTGAAGTTTGGTAGAAGGTGTTCGATCTGCATTGCATTGCTTGTGTGACGGCGATGTGCCTATATACTCGTTCCAGGCGTTTGCCTATTAAATTAAACCTAATCAGTTAAATACAAAATGTAATGAGAATTTGAATAAATTACTTGGTTGACAATATATGAATACACAACACAAGTTATGGTTAGTAAAAAAAAATCTTAAAACTTAAATTTAATTAATAAAAAAATATACATTAAATATAACGTAAGTTAAGTAAAACGTTATTTTCACTAAATGGATACATTTCATGAAGTGGACATCCACTTCATGAAATGAGCGATTTCACTAAGTGGATGCGACATATATATTTAAATGCATTCAATGAATGTGCAGTAAAGATTTAACTTCATTGTAAAAGTAATTAAAACAATAAAAATATTTACATGTATACGGAATTTTTAGGATAATACAAAGTAGAATAGCATGAATGTGAGATTCTAGTAATATTCACAAGTATTTCAATTTTCTTTTTAAGACCAACATTAAAATAACTTTAGAAGTCAAAGTATATTGTCATTTGAATGGCTTAAAAATAAGTATTTTGTCTTTCATAATTCTCAACATGTTAATTATTATTAGATGTAGAAATACTGGCACTGCACATATCTTCTAAAATATGACTACCCAGATTAAGATTTGTCTCAAACTGCTGACCACAGTCTTAACACTTATACGTTTTTAAAGTGTGTATCTTTGAATGTTCTTGTAATGTAATATTGTCAGCAAACTTAATTTTACATATTTTACAAAAGTATTTCATAATATTTGTTTTGTTTACTTGTATGATTTGCCTTCTATTTTTTTTATATGTAGAGTTTGTTTCTTCATAATGTTTAAATAATTGTTTGTGTTTAATTCTTAAATGTTCTCTGAAATAATATTTGTGCTTAAATGTACTTCCACAAATAATACAGATCAGAGGTTCAACATTTTGTGTGTGAATTATGGATACGTGACGATTTAAATTAGCTCTATTGCTGTATGTTTTACCACATAACTCACATTTAGTGCCATTAATATGATTACGTCTATTTCGTTTTTGTTGAATTTTGTCTGTTAATTTGCCTTTTTATAAACCAGTATTATCATAGGTATTCAAATACGTTGAATCTAACACTTAATGTTTTTTTTGAACAGCTCGATTGTAAGAGGTTCTATAGGATTCCATACCTACATTACATCTGAATCGACCAGATTTGATAGAATTCTTTGCAGCTTTATTTGATGTAAACTCTGGAAGATTACTTTTACAATGGCGGCGACATTCTGTCATTCTTCTGTCATATGTCTTTTCCACTGAGATATCGAGTTATATTCTTTTTTGCAATATCGACATTTCATTTTATCTTTATGACTTATAGATTTAATCTTTAGTTTGGTAATGTTTGATTTTATATTTTGATTTTGATTGTGTTTTTTGTAGTGGCCTTTTAAATGACAATTCCATCGAAATTTCAACTGATAAGTTCTATTACAAATCTTACATACATATGGTACAATTCCAGAATGTGACTTTCGGTGAACATTCAATTCAATTGTAGTAGAGAATTTTTTCTCACACACATTGCAAGGAAACCATAAATATTCTATGTTCATCAAATTTATACCACTTGAATTGCCATCAACTGGACTATGAATAATCTCAGAATCATTATAATGAGGTTCCATTATGTTTCTAGATTTAATAGTGTCTAATGTATTAGATTTAGTATCCATAGCCCATAGGATCAAACTGAATTGTTGACACATTTAAATCTATTTGTTGTTGATGATAGGTCATATGGTCTACCCAAAGAATTACAGTGTTAAATGTTATATCACATACAATACATTCATGCATATTACACTCACTGTGATCACTCATGTGTAATGCGAATGAATGTATATCTGTAGATGGAGAATTTTTACAAATTCTACATATAAATATAATATTGTCTTGTGATGTCTGATCATTATCATCATAGCAAAATTAATTTATAATATTAGACAATTTTCTAATACACAAATAAGGTGTTTCTCTAACTATAGATATAATATTATTATTAGCTATATTAATAGGGTTTTGTTCTGCCATTAAATCACGAGGTTCGTTTTCTAAAGCTGATTCATTGCTATTCATTGACTCCGCTTGATCTGAACTGTTGCTTTCACTGACATTTGTACACAAGTTTCTTTCTTCCTTTATATTTAGTTAATGGAAATTGTTTGCTATAGAGCTTTCGAGTTTTCGAGTTGCCATCATCAATACAATTGTTGAATTAATTTTCATCGACAAAATCTGCATTTATACATGAGAGTTTCTTCCATAAATATTACAATGAAATATATTATCACTTGTATTTCCATGATTTAGTTAAATATTATTATCAGCAACGTTCTGTGAAATAAAAAATGATTTATAAATAAAATAATTAATTAATGTTCATATATCTAAGATATTCTTGTCGTATGCTATCTACCACAAATACGCAATCCACCAGTCATAATGCATAGTGTTCTATGCGATCTACCACTAAAATACCACCATAAGCAATCTATACTCTATCCCAAATGAGTTAGGTTTGAGCACATGCAGCATCATTGGCTGGCGTCGGCCAATTGGACAAAAACATACATAATTAATAATATAAATTATAATATTATAGTCTCATTCATTCTTTGAATATTATTTTGAAGAATGGAATTCATTTTATATTTAATATACCTAGGATCACTATCAATGATTTTGTATAGAATGTTTTTAATTTATTTCATGTAAAAAGTTTATATTATAAGAATTTATTGCTACCATTTTATAAATTTAGAATTAACACTGTTGATATTAGCCATATTTATAACACACTTTACAAATCAAATATTAATTTAAATGTACCTTTGTACCATAAAAATGTTGGCATTAAAAGTTATTTTTCAAATGTAATCAAAATATGCAGACTGCTGAGAAGTTAGAATTAACATCTTGACGCGGTCCCGCGTAATGGCAGTTTGAATTCAAACCGCGGCGCGCGACACCCGCGCCGTGAACCGTCGGCCAGCCGTTCGGCGAACCGGCTTGTTGAAGTCACTTGTTTTTCTCAGCGACCCGGACACGGACCTCGTCACGCACGTCCCCGCGAGTCTAAAACAACTACTGTCTATACTGATACCGTCTCGCAATTTTATTGTATGACTTCACCACGAATAGAAACCTGAACTACACTAGTGCGTCGACTTGTTGTGTTTTCTTTTTGTTTTTTTTATCCTGTCTTTTTGTTTGGTCACCTTCACCCACCATCTGCGTGGCCCCCCACAGGTCCGCATCAAATTGGCTCCCTGAACAGGAATCACCGGTAAGTGAAAATTTTCCACCTATGGAAACCACTGGGCCGACCGGAAACAACCCAGGCGACTGGTCAGGTGCCCGTCACCGGACAAGTCGAACATCAACGGGTCGAGTCATAACCCGCCCAAACTCCGAACACCACCACCAACAAACCACCCACATCCACCCACCAACAAGCTATGGATATGATCCAAACGGGTCGTACCATAATTAAGGAGGTACGGCGGAGAACTCGGCGCATGGGTGCAGTCTGGAATCGCGACTGACCATGCTCGAGAACTGTATGGTCCGCTTTGGCGAAGACCAACGTCGCATTGCAGAGACAATGCGGCGCCTAGAGATGGGTATGGCACGCCAAGCACCGGAACAGCAACCGGATGGAACACCACCGACCCGCCCCCACCACCAATTGTCATCGAACAACACGGAGTACGGACCGAGTTACCCCACGGCACGCGAACCGCCGGCCACGGCTAGTCAACACGCCGACCGATCTGTACGTTTCGATGATACGCAAAATTTACTAAATGCCCCGTCCTCCACACACACATACCCGGCACAACAATCGACGCTGATACCGTACGACGACGTATGCGCAGTGAGACATTCACTGCCGGAGTTCCACGGGACAACACCCGAGGACCCGGTACGGTTTATTCATAAAGCGGAATCGATATTGTGCCAAACACAGATAGATAGGTCAGCCTGGACAAATATTGTCACAAAGCAGCTAAAAAGTGCAGCCAGTACATGGTGGAACACCATCAGACTACTGGACCTCACCTGGGATGAGTTTTGCGCCGAATTTTTAGAAAAATTCAACAACGTGGAAATTCAATCACGGCTGCGGGCCGAAATAGTATTTGTCCAACGAACAACAACGCAATCGCTAACGGAGTTCGTGACACAAAAAAATCAACTTGCACGCCGCTTCAACACCGGGCTACCTGAAACACAGCTAGAGCCTAGAAGGTACGATAGCCGGACTAACGCCCAACGAATACCGCACGCACATACGATTGCATAGACCGCTGGATCGCTGGAGTCCTGGAATACACACCAGACGAACCAGCCACACAACCACAGCCAAAACCAGCGTATAAAAAATTTGCCCAAACCCACGCTCCACAACCGACGCACCAAACGCGAAAAAGGGACGGTACGCCAGGGAAACAGCAACCGCCCAACCAGTGCAGTAACTGTGGAGGTCCTCACTGGAACAGTGACTGCCCCGGGAACACGCCGCGTTCGGGAAACGGGAAATGAGTCGTCGGACACCTGTCCACGCCGCTGCCTCAGCCACACACACACAGCCATACCACCACACACAACACTCGGCAATACAGACGGGGATATAACCATCAAACGTCAAATGAGAGGGGCAAAAGTGTTCAGCGTTCTTGACCTTAAGTCGGGGTACTGGCAAGTACCACTAAAGCAAGACGCGCGAAAATACACGGCATTCCGGACGCGTCGGGGCCTATACCAATTCCGAGTCCTCCAATTCGGCCTCAAAAACAGCCCCATGACCTTTGTGCGATTAATGAACGAAGTCTTGAGGGGGTACCTGGACGAGTTCGTCCGCGTATATCTAGACGATATAGTGGTGTTTTCAAACACTACGGACGAACACCAGTGCCACTTAGACAAAGTTCTGGAACGCCTACAGATACACGGTCTGACATGCAACCCCGAAAAACGCAGATTCGGAACAACCGAAATCTCATTTCTTGCACACCTAGTCACCTCCGAAGGAATAGACAAACAACCGGAGAAACTAGAGGGCATCATCAACTATCGCCACGGACCTGTTTAGTAGATGGACCGAGGCCTACCCCCTCGGAACAGCCACTACAAAAACAATAACCGAAACGCTCGAACGAGAATTCTTTTCAAGTTTCAGATACCCCCGTGTGTGCTTGAGCGACAACGGCCCACAGTTCGTAGCAAACGACATGCGCAAAGCGCTCGAACGATGGGGAGCCGAGGGCATGGACAACTCCGGGATATCACCCGAGGGCCAACCCAGTCGAATGTCGTAACCAGGAACTAAAAAAAGGTATACACGCGCTACTCATCGACGGCAACCACAACACCTGGGACACCAAGCTAGCCCCCATACTTTTTTCGATCAGGTTTCGATTTTGGTGCTGGTGTTGAACGCGCTGGGACGAAATGCGGAAAATCCCATAACTTGGAGGAAAATATAGCACTAATTTTGAAAACAGTACCATCGAATAGTACCTATTATAAGCACTTAGTATTGGTGTTATAGCGGATTTTGGTGCTGGTGTTGAACGCGCTGGGACGAAATGCGGAAAATCCCATAACTTGGAGGAAAATATAGCACTAATTTTGAAAACAGTACCATCGAATAGCACTAATTCAGCACTTAATTTTGGTGTTATAGCGGATTTTGGTGCTGAAAGTGCACCCGCTGGGACGAAATACGGAAAATCGCATAACTCGAAGGGAAACATAGCACTAATTTTGAAAATGGTACCATCGAATAGCACTAATTCAGCACTAAATTTTGGTGCTATAGCGAATTTTGGTGCTGGTGTTGAACCCGCTACGTGAAGTTAGCGGAGAAAGGTAAGCCCCCCTGTAACTTTTGACTAATTACAGCACTAATTTTGAAAACGCAGTTGTTGTATAGCACTAATTGAGCACTAAATAGTGGTGGTATAGCGGAAATTAGTGATCACATTTTTCCGCTAACTTCACGGACCTCTTCGGCCGGCCGTTCGGCGAACCGGCTTGTTGAAGTCACTTGTTTTTCTCAGCGACCCGGACACGGACCTCGTCACGCACGTCCCCAAAAGTCTAAAACAACTACTGTCTATACTCTATACTGATACCGTTTCGCCATTTTATTGTATGACTTCACCACAAATAAAAACCTGAACTACACTAGTGCGTCGTCTTGTTGTAATTTTCTTTTTGTTTTTTTTTTATCCTGTCTTTTTGTTTGGTCACCTTCACCCACCATCCACGCGGCACCCCACAGGTCCGCATCAATCTATAATTTTAATAATGTACCTAAATGCTCTAAAATTTAATTTATATATTTTTGATATATCTTAAATTAATTTATGAACAAATACATATATTTAATTAGTATTAGAAATGTTTAGTTGTCGATAACTGAATTCAAATTATAATAACTTCTCAACACAAGCTATGGTAATAGCTAGGGGTGTTACAAATCTTTGTACTTTATATTATATTTAAACTTTAAATGATTCTTGATTTGCAAGTCTCAAGCTATCATTATTTAGGCTCTATGTTGATCAGTATTAGTGAGTCAGTCCGGATATGTTCAATTAGGTATATTATAGCCATCCTACCCGGTGTTTCCCGTGAGAAACGCTTGTGATTATGCGAGCATTAT